CACAGATGAGCTGTTCTGTAGTAGGAGGATTTCTGGTCTTGGATGCAGAATTTCTGCTTCAGAACCTTCTCTGCCATTCAGTAACTGAGTGGCCGGGGTCACCCTCAAGCGCTTTGAGTCTCAGTCGCCTTTCTACATAAGGGAATGATAACATCGTCTTTTAAGGCCTGCTTTGAAGGCTAAATTGATATTGTTATGTGAACATTACAACCTGCTAGAAGAGCATAACATGCTTAAGGGGATACTCAAGGTTCTCTTCTCCCAGAACAAACTGAAAATATTTCCACAAATGTCACAGGGAAAATATTTCCACAAATGTGGGAGACGTTACCGCTCACATGTTCAAACTATATTGTGTTCCGAAGCCCCGGAACCATCCAGATGTTCCAAAGAGGCAAAGGGTGTGCGAGAAGAATCTTGGCTGAGTGTGGAAGACCTGATTTTACTCTAAAGTTTGCCACAAATTCGGTCTATGACATTTGACAATTCCTAAATTCTCTAAATGGCAGATTTTTGATCTGTAAAATGAAATTATTCTTTGTAATCTTTTAAGTCACTTTTTAAAAGTGTGCTATTCTAGTTCTGCTAAAATTTCACATAAACAAACAGGCTGACAAAGAAGTCATGATTATCTGAGGAAATGAATAACCAAGAGGAATGCTGTTCCCTGTCAAGGGAACTCAAGAAACCCAACAGCAAAGGGCAGATCTGAGGCTAGGAGCCTCAGCTTCTAGTTCATGCCCAGTTCATGCCCGGCCCATGCTCCCTTCAGCCTCAGGGGCTGGAAGGACTCAGTGGCTGGGCAGGAAGGGGCTGTAGTCGGGCACAAGTGCCTACCACGCTCTAAAGGAAAGCCTGATGGTTAATGCAAGAAGACGGGGAGCCATCAGCAGAGGCAAGTCCTCTGACCACAAAATACGAGCAAAGCTGCCCCTGTCGGTGCTTTGCCAGCAAATCACAGATGTGCTACGATTCATGGCCCTGCCTGTCAACTCCAGTACTTTTTATATAAATCATTGCTGGCGAAATACAATTTTAAATATTAAAATCGCCTAAAGTATAACCAAATGAAAATACTGAAGTAGGATGCATCCTTAAAAATATAAGCATTTCTGCATTCCAGATCCCAAACTTTTGGAGCCGCAAAGCAAACGCTGTTCCCATGTGGCTTCTGTGCCACCTAGTTCTTCTGTGTTTCAACCCAAGCAATGACTGCACCACCACCCTCCGTGCTGCTCAACAACCGCTATGCACGATTGTAAAAGGGGATTAGCTGTACCTTCCCCGCAAGTGCATTACTATCCTCCTAGGTTATGTGACAGCCTACTTTTATGCATAAAACGTGCTTAGCTTCTGGTGATTTATCATTTTAAATGTTTTAAAAGTAAATTGACTACATAGATTTTGTTTTCTAGAATTCCGTGTGGTAGATGTACATTTCAGCCTCCATGATGATATAAATATTCTTGGTTGAAAAATACTGTACTTTCTAGGCAATATTAAAATAAGTAAAGTTGTTAGAAATAACTGGTTATAACACATAAGAATATGGATTGATTTATTTCACCAGCAGTCACTGAGGATCTGATCTATACTGATGATTAGGCTGACTAAGAAGAATAAAAATGAAGAACTATTCTTCCCTTGAATAACTAAAATTCCAGTGTCACACAGGATATGTAAGTTGACAGTTTACAATGTGAGGCCTGGGTCCTCTTCATATCAGCATCTAAAGCCTGTGATGGAGACACCAAGGTCTGACGCCAACTTCATTTCAGGAGATGTCTCAGAGAGGACAACATTTGAAGGAGGACAGAGGGCTAAGGAGCAGTCTGGAAAGAGCGAGTGGGAAAAACACATTCCAAGCAAACAACAGCAGACTGCTCCAGGCCAAACTCATCGCCAGAGCAGGAGAGGGCTCTGGGGACCAGTGCACAGAGAAGGATGGAAGGGAGACCAGGCAGAAAGGTAGACTCGGCAGCACGAGGTCAACCTTGTTAGGACTAAATCCTACAGGCAGTGAAGAGGATGAAAAAACAATGATCATTTATATTTCTCACTAAAATTCTTAGGGGAAAAAATAAAAATTGTAAAGTAACACAGCAAAACTATGGCCATACGACACATGAGGTCAATTACAATATAATTAACCAATCTTAGTGAGTCATTTTCCAGAATAATATTAGTGAGCCTTCACTTTTGTAATGGAGCCCATAAGATCACCAAACATTTTAGAGGTATCATTAGGAGAGACAATAATTTTCTTCGCTAGGCAACTACAATAACAACCATACCAACTGGAAGACTAAGCCAAATTCACTTCTTTTGAAATTATAATAAGATTAAGCAAGAGATTTAACTTACAGAGATAATGAAGTTCCACCAAGGACACCAGTGAAATTTAGCGGGAAAAGGAACTTGTTTTTAACACGTGTTGCTGGAGCCAACAGATATTCATACAGGGAAAAATGACTCTTTACCTTACCTTTCTCCCCACCCAAAATTAGTTTGTGATGGAGGTGGAGGAGGGACCCACGCCCTCATGTGACCTGTCTGTGAGCATGGGAGGCGTCTGTGGCATATAACACAGAATGTGGGATGAATCAAGGCGTGCCTGTGCACACAGCTGCATCTTGCTGGAGTCTCTCTCGCTTGCTGGCTGTGAGGATGCATGTGGTTGTGCTGGGGACCCTGTGAGGCAGGAGCCTTGGGGGCCTCAGGGAGCTGATGGTGGCCTCCACCCTGTAGCCATCAAGAAACTGAGGCCCTCAGTCCTGCAGCCACAAGGAACTAAAATCTGCCAAGACCTTGGTGAGCTTGCCAGCAGATCTGTCCCCAGGGGAGCCTCAGAAGGGACCCAAGCCCCTGCCAATAGCTTCGTCTCAGCCTGTGAGACCCTGGGCAGAGGACCCAGCTCCCCCACACCCTGACTCTTGACTCACAGGAGCTGTGAGATAAAGAGGGTGTGGTTTCAAGCCACGGCAGTTTTGCTAATACTGTTATGTAGCAATGGGTTATAGATCTAAATGGAATAAAAAACCACAAATGTCCTAGAAGGAAACACAGAAGAATATCTTCTCAGTCTCTGGGTTAGAAAAGGTTTCTTAGGTCATAGAAAGCACTAACCAAATCTAATTTTAATTAAAAACTAGATTTCATAAAAATGTAAAACTTCTGTTCATTACAGGATGCCATGATGATACCAATAAGCAACCCACAGATGAGGGGAAACACTGCAATACCTGCCTAGAGTTAAGAATACATTTTTTAAAAAGTAACTCAATAATTTAGAAAAGAACCCAATTAAAAATGGGCATATAAGTATATGGTAAAGTGCTCAACATCATTCATTACAAAAGAAATGCAAATTAAAACCACAATTAAAATACCACCTCAAGGCTAAAATTAAAGACTAAAGAAACCGCATGTAACTGAGATTATGACACTGAGACTCTCATACCTTGCTGGGAAGTGTCAAGCGGTACAATCCCATGCAAAACTGAGGGGCAGTTACGTTGCAGTTAAGCACACACCACCCTCGGCAACTGCACTCCAGTCTCTCGCAAGAGAAACGAGAACATGAGTGCACACAAACAGCTGCACAATAATTTTTATGGCAGCTTTATTTGTAATCACCAAAAACTGGACACATCAAAAGATCCTCAACTGAGGGCTGGGTAAACTGTTTCTCCCACACAGGGGAAAACGCCTCGGTAATATAAAGGAAGAACCAGAATGCGTGCAACATTGCCGAGGAATTTCAAAATCATTACACAGAGGCCAAACAGAGAAGAAAACTTGCCAAATGGCATTCATGTGACAATCCGGAACAGACAAAGCCAGTCTGTGAAGGACACAAGAGCAGTTTCCACGTTGGAGTGTGGAAATGAGGACTGACTGGGGGACGTGGGGAAGACCCTGAGGTGGGGGGTGGGGTGCAGGTGCACCTGTGCCACAGGACTGGGGCCTCTGGCTGTTCATTTGTTCATTGTAACCCCAGAAAAAGAAAGGAGCCCTACATGATTTAGAACATGTGCTTATTCAGTGCCTCTGCAGATAAACTGCTAATACTTTTATTTCTTTATCTTCAATCTTTCCATTTCAATTCTTATTCCAAAATTCTTTTATTTTGATTAAAAACATCAAAGTATAAGCTGGGCATGGTGGCCCACACCTGTGGTCCCAGACACTCCAGAGGCTGGGGTGGGAAGATTGCAGGAGCCCAAGAGTACAGCTTGGGCAACAGAGGGAGATGCTGTCTCTAACATTTTTTTCATTAAAAATAAAAGTATCGGCGCCTGTCGTCCCAGCTACTCGGGAGGCTGAGGCAGGAGAATGGCGTGAACCTGGGAGGTGGAGCTTGCAGTGAGCCGAGACTGTGCCACTGCACTCCAGCCTGGGCGATAGAACAAGACTCTGTCTCAAAAAAAAAAAATAAATAAATAAATAAATACATAAAAATAAAAATATCAAAGTATTTTTTAAAAACTTGCATTCCCCTCCACATACTCAGTAAGTTATCAGGACAGAAGATTATCCCTAAAGTAAGAGACTGTCTTCATTACCCTTTTCTATATTGTATACTGTTTTAGACTTGAAAAAATATATTGATTGAATATAAAAATGGGAGAATTTTTTTATAGCAGCCTGAGTGTTTGTAAAGCCCTCTTAACTTTATACTGTTTCCATGATGGGAAAGAACTATGAGAGCATAAATCAGGCCACTATATTTCCCAACACTATCTAAAAATTTCTGGGTGCAAACAAAAAGGTGTGCCCTGCATTTCATCAGAAATTGGTCTAAGTTCAATACTCCCTCTGACATTTCTATTTCCCACAAACAGCGATGGCTTCTGCACATAAAAACTCCTCACTGAAGTGATCTTGTGTCCAAGTATGTTAATTAGTGATTTTGATCATATTTGAATTCAGTCTCTTCTGATTGCTATTCTACAGATCAGTTGATATTCTGGCCTCAGGAAGTGAACAGCACATGCTCTAGATATTACATTTGATATTTAATAATTAGTAATATGTAATAATTCGTGGTTAGAATATCATTGGCCAGGCTGGAAACAGAGCCAGGTGCACCGCTGGATTGCTGAGTTCGAGAATAAGCACTGGGTTCCCATCCCGGTGGAGTCCTTACTGCCGGATGTGAGTCTTGCTGGTCAAGTGAGTGGAGACCCAGAGCACAGGCAGCCGAGGGTTGGGCGGTCAATGGGACGGCGGCTTATCTGCACATAGTCAGTGCGCACCTCCAGGCGACAGGACGCAGAGACCCTGCAACAGAGTCCTGAGATGGAAAAGCCAAACCTGCAGGCTCTTCCAGGGACCCCTGAAATAGAAAGTCTGGGATAAGGGCCCAGAAATCTTCATCTTTTCAGAAACTCTCCAGTAGATTTTTATGCAGTTCCATTCTGGATGCCGTGATTTTCCAATTCAATTATTTGTCACTCCACTAACTTAAATGCAGTACTTATCCAGAGTCCATGAGCCATAAATCCACAGCATAGCGGGCTTCTCATTTTGACTACTGTTGGTGAGAGGTACGTTACTCACATTTGAATCCTGGAATAAACCAGCTATTACTGACTCAAGTTCAGAATCTTTTTGTTTTACACGGTAGATCATAATACATTGCATTTGGAAGTTATAGGCCTGACAGGCTCGGATGGTTTACAGTAAAAATAATAATATCCCACCAGTTCCGTACTTCAGTTTCCTTCCCTTTCTGTTGAAGAAATTCCGTCGGCAACCACAAATCTTGAAGCCAATCCCTTATTTTCTCATTGTCTTAATTTATCATCTGGACAGCTCATCCCTGCATGGCAGCGAAAGACCAATACTATGTGAAGTACATTTTTTTGGCTCTTATATAAATCACTTGAATGTAAAGAAGGTAGCGTGGCAATGGCAAGCTGCCTGCTTCTGTAGTCTGTACGGCGGCCTTTACATTCACGGTTTGGCTGTTGACTTTGCTAGAATCTGCAGAACATTTTCCAAAAGGAAGGCAGTGTAGATTCCTTAGGCATGAAATTAACTTTTATGATGTGGGCATTGATGAGACAGTCAGGAAATATCTGGAAATGACACACTCTTCAGAACTATAAATTGTACATGAAAACACACATTTGAAACCACTCAGGGACTAAAAAAGAAAAAAAACAAGCATTAATGCCACATTAATAGAAATATAATATATATTACCTCTCATAGAAATAAGAAACTTTTTTGAAATGCTGATTTAGAACTGAGTTCTAGTCAATAAATTTGAGAAGGAAACCTTTCTCCAGTTCCCGAGTGTCCATAGTAAGAAAGATACGGCTTCTGCTCTTGAATTTGCCCCGAAAGGCTCCACAGAGCTCACCCCGCTTTTCTTCAAGATGCTTCCCAGTGCTCGCTGGTGGTAGCAGAACCCACTTCCCTCTTCTGTCCTTATACAGCTACAGCTTTGTGGTGTGGAGGCGGACACCGTGCTGACGAAGATGGAATCTGAAGTCAGATCGATGAGGTGCAAAGCCTTGCAGGTCCACTTACCCACTGTGTGCTTTTGTTCGGCATTTTAACTTCTTTGTGCCTCGGTTTCCTTATCTGCGATAGGAAGGTAATGAGGTATCCACTTGTTGAGGTGGTGATGATTACAGTTACATAAAGCACTTAAGGATAGTGACTGTGACACAGTAAGCACCTACTCAGTGCAAGTAAATGTGGAAATTGATCTCTGATATGGTCTGGCTGTGTCCCCACCCAAACCTCCACTTGAATTGTATCTCCCAGAATTCCCACATATTGTGGGAGGGACCCAGGGGGAGGTAATTGAATCACGGGGGCCTGTCTTTCCCGTGCTGTTCTCGTGATAGTGACTAAGTCTCACGAGATCTGACGGTTTTATCAGGGGCTTCTGCTTTTGCTTCTCTGTCATTCTCTCTTCCCTGCCACCATGTAAAAAGTGCCTTTTATCCTCCGCCATGATTGGGAGGCCTCCCCAGCCATGTGGAACTGCAAGTCAAATTAAACCTACTTTTCTTCCCAGTCTCAGGTATGTCTTTATCAGCAGCATAAAACGGACTAATACAATCTCAAACCATTTTGTCTTTGGCTACAAATAAGAAGTAAGGTGTGTCCATATGGCCCAGACAAGAAACTCCAAGTGAGAACCAGGCAAGCCCAGTGTGCAGGGAGGCTGCCCACGCCTGACAGGACAGCACCAAGGTGCTGGGCAGAGCCAGGTCCAAGGGCCAGGGCCCTGTAGCTCTGAATTCGAAGATGGGCTTGATGCTGGCCCTGTTGTTGATGGGACACTAACTTTGGTCACTTTACCCCATCATCCTCAGCTACATATCCAGTACACACAATAATTATCAGATTGCTTTATTATTACTGTTTTTATATATTACATATTTATAAAACATAGACTACTGCAAAAATGTAAACTATACATTTTATACTACCCCAGGCAGATACACACACACCCCTCACAGAGTTTCACACCATATCAATCTGCTCTGTGGAGGGGAGACCTACTCGAGGGCCAGAAAGTTCATATAATCCAACACCTAATTTTAGAGATAAGAAAAGCAAAGTTCAAAAGGTTTGCTGAGGAACTACATGGGCAAATATATAGCATTTTTTTCTTCTTATTTAAATATCTCTAAGAGATAACTGTTTAAACAAAATTGATAATGACCTAGTGTAGAATTTACGATAAATGTTGTCTTAGTCCATTCAGGCTGCTGTCACAAAAATGCCATAAACTGGGTGGTTTATAAATAACAGACATTTATCTCTCACCGTTCTGGAGGGTGGAGGTCCAGGATGAAGGTGCTGGCAGTGTCTGGTGAGGGCCTCCTCCTCATAGACAGTGCCTTCTCACTGCCCCTCACATGGTGGAAAGTGCCAACAAGTGCCCTGAGGTCTCTTTTATGGGGGCATTAATTCCTGTCATGAGGTTCTTCCCTCATGACCTCATCATCTCCTGATGGTCCCACCTCTGAACACCATCATCTTAGGAGAGAGGCTTTCAACATATGAATTTGGGGGGCAGAAAACAAACAATTAGATCATAACACCGTAAAAGTAAAACGCATGACAGTAATAGCACCCAGCCTGGAGAGGAGAAATGGAAGTTTGCTATTGTAAGATGAAGTGGCATCCTATCACTCAACGGTAGAATACCATGGTTAAGGCTTTATACTTTAAATTAAGGAAACCTCAGATTAACTAAACAAAGAGTTACACCTAAGAAGCCAAAAAAAAAAAAAAAAAAAGATGATAAATGGAAATACAGAAAATATCTAATGGAGTCAAAAGAAAGCAGAAAAATAAAAAGAAAAGAAAGATCAGAAGGAGCAAATAGAAAATGAATAAGCAAGACAGAGTTTTAAACATAATCACATTAATAATCACATTAAATATGAATGGTCTAAACCTACACATTAAAATGCAGACATAGTCAAATTGGATAAAAGATCAAGATGCAACTACATACAGCCTATAAGAAATGCACTTCAAACAAGGAGACTCAGATAGGTTTAAAAAAATAATTTTAAAAGATATACTATCCTAACACTAACAAAAGAAAGCTAGAGTGGCTACATTAATTTCCGACAAAGTATATTTCAAAGCAAAAAGTATTCCCGGGAATAAAGACCACCATGTCATTACAATAAAGGTGTCTACTCATTAAGAGGACGTAATAATCCTAACCTAATAAAGTAGCTTCAAAATAAAAGAAAAAACTGATAGAATTACAAGGAAAAGAGAAAACCTAGAGGTATGATCAGAGATTTCAATGCCGCCCTCAATCCTGGAAAAGACAAACACACACCACATAAGGATGCGGAAGACTCAAGGACACTCCCAACCAACGCGACATGTTTCTCAGATCCTGTGCCGCCAACAGCAGAGTCTGCATTCTTTTCAGGTGGACACAGAACTCAAAGCAAAAGCAATCCATTCAAGCCACGTAAAGTATTTCCTCTGTCCATGCGGTATTAAACTGGAAATCAATAAAAGAAAGATTTTAAGAAAGACCTCAAATATTTGAAAACCAAACAGCACACTAACTTTCGACAACCCATGAATCAATGACAAAAATCAAAAGAGAATTTCAAAAGTATTTTGAACTAAATGAGTACGTAAACATTTTCGCAATTTGGGGGATCCCCTAAGGCAGCAAATGGGAGAGCATGGGGCACCCACAGCTGTGTCAAGGGCTTCTAAGAACAGAAGGGGGCCTCAGCAGGCACAGATGTGACTCCAACTCTACAGGACGACAGGCTCTGGCCTCTCTGCCTCTGTGCCAGGCTGTACGAGTGCCCGGGCACAGGACAGGTGAGATTGCAGGGGACGCGGGGAGGGCGTGTGGGCATCACAGTGAGACCAGCGGGAGCTGGATGGAAGGTTAGACTCGGGGGCATTTGAGACACAGAAACTGGTTAAAAAAAAAAAAAAAAAAAAAAAAAAAAAGTACAATCTGCAGAAGTGAAATAAGGAACAGAGAGGGGTGGGGAGGCTGAGGAGGTGGAGGATGAGCTTGCAGGAGGGCGCCACAGTTCCCGCTCAGGCTCTGGGAGTTGCAGGTGACAAGTCAGGGAGAGGAGGCCACAGCCCGGGAAGGAAACGCTTGGGCTGGCTCAGAGTCCGGAGTGTGAGCGCGGCAGCACTGCGGAGGAATGCCCAGAGCAAATGGGTCTAAAGGAGACATGCTGGGGCTTTTGGAAAATAATCAGAGATCACAGTTTAAGATGAGGAAAAGTAGGATAAATTCAGAGGCAGCATCAAGTGAGGAGACAATAAAGCTGACAGCGGACCCCAGAGAAACCTGCACATGGAGAAATGTTTCCTGCTCCGTCCGCCCCGGACGCCTCCCTGCGCCGTGACCCCGAGGCTGCCCCACCAGCCGCAGTCGAGCCCAGGCTCCTCCACCTCTTTCCTGCAACTCCACTGTAGCCAGGGTCAGGGATGGAAGAAATGGACTTGGTGAAAAAGACAAAACAAAGCCAAAAAAGTAACAGCTGAACCATGCGTGAGTCCCGACGGGAGCCCATCACCCCAACAGGGTCTCCACAAAGCCGGACCCTGAACACTGAAGCATTCAGCTCACACCAGTCAGACCCAACTTGGCTTCAACTCCAAACGTGTGCCTGAACTAACATCCGTGTGTCTCTAACAAACCAAAGGTTATTTTCCGTTTAAAATTCAAGCATACCTTAAAAGAAAAGCTGTATCCGAGGGCAGAGGGGATGTCTGTGAAGAAGGCGGCACGGAACTGTGCTCACGAGAGACAAGAAGGCGGCACTGGCCACAGGGACGCGGCCACAGCATCTCTTTCGCTTCAACATCAAGACATCAGTTTAATCAAAACAGATTTTCTTTCTTATTTTACAATGTAAAAATCTAGCCCGTGAGGATAAGAAAGTTTACTTTCCAAATTCAGAGTCTGCCTTCATTGTGTGATTTCTGAGCCCACACCTGAAGGGGGACACGGGTGGGTGGAGGTTTAAAAGGAAGAGTCTACATTTCTTGAGCGGCTCAGAGGTGTTACAAACGTCACATCCGTGACATGATCCGGCCTTCATAAGACAGTGGTTGTATTATTCAGGGATCCCTAAAGGGACAGGACTCACAGGACAGATGAGTATATGGAGGGGAGTTTATTAGGAGAATTCACTCACACCATCACAAGGTGAAGTCCCACAATAGGCCATCTGTAAGCTGAGGAGCAAGGAAGCCGAACCAAGTCCCAAAACCTCAAAAGTAGGGAAGCCCAGATGCAGCCTTCAGTCTGTGGCCGAAGGCCCGAGAGCCCCTGGCAAACCACCAATGTCAGTCCGAGGTCCAAGAGTCCAAAAGCTGAAGAACTTGGAGTCTGATGTTCGAGGGGAGGAAGCATCCAGCACAGGAGAAAGATGGAGGCCAGGAGACTCAGCAAGTCCAGTCCTTCCACCTTCCTCTGCCTGCTTTTATCCTAGCCAAGCCAGCAGCTGATTAGATGGTGGCCACCCACACCGGGGGAGGGGGGTCTGCCTTTGCCAGCCCACTGACTGAAATGGGAATCTCTCGACACCCTCACGGACACAGCCAGGACAATACTTTGCGTCCTTCAATCCTGTCAAGTTGGTGCTCAGTATTCACCATCACAGTGGCCCAGGACAGCGGCAGGCAACACGAGGCTGTGAGAGGTTGCACTGCTTTGTGGCTCCTGGATCCATGTCCCTCCCCCGCCACCTCCTGACCTCTCTGTGGCTGACCACCCTCCACATTTGGGGAGAGTGTGCTGGGCTGCAAGTCAGGTGCAAGGCTCCCTGGAGGACAGCATCAGCTGGAGGCGTCTCTACCACTCAGCACCTGGACAGAGCCCAGTGCTTACACTGGCTCCCACGAGAGACTCTCGGGCTCACCCATCTGCCCTGGGAGTGGCCCTGACCTCTCTTGTAGCACTGGAGCACTCCATGGCTCCTGTCTCCCAGCCCAGTTTTCTGGCCCTGCCACCCATTCCATCAGCTAGCCCTTGATGTGCCTCAGGTAACCAAATGTGAGTGAGTAAAGTAACAAATGCCCGCGTCCTCATGCCAACACCCATGTGGACCCCACATGCAACCGCATGTGCAGAATGGGTTGGGGAGGTAAGTGACCATGCCAGGGACCAGCACACGGGAGCCGGGGAGACCCCCACCAGGTACACTGTCAGCGAGCACTCCCTTCCACCTGCACGCCTGCCGAAAGCCTTGCCGAGCCAAGCCCAGCCGAGCCTCAGAAGCCTCCCAGCCTGGAAGTGCGGTCCCACCACCTTGCTTACGCGGCAGGAGATGTGCTCTGACCAGCGTGGGAAAGAAACTGCGAATCAAGAGATACCCAATACTCCCTTCCCGGTAAACAAACTGATAACGTGGCTGTGTGTGCTTCTGCCGAGACTTAAGGCCAGTTTCTAAATGCAAAGCCTAATTTTTGGGGGGTAAAATTTTATACCAAGATTAAACTTTAGTCACTCACCAGAAGACTACATTTTAATATGCAGTTCTATATAATATTCTAAATTAGAAATATCTAAGGAAATTAAGACTCTATTTCAGATAAGGCAGAACACTGTCCCACATCTGTGATCCATTTAATATTTCAAAGTGACCCTGAAGTCTCATCTCCTAAAAACACCTCCACCAGGTACTGGAAATCTGTATCCCCCCCTTGCCTTACACAGTGGAGAAACTGAGGGTTCCCTTCACAATGTGTGTTTGTAATCACACAGACGCTGGAAGGGTTCGAGTATGTGCACCAAGCCACTTTACTTCCTTTACTTAATCTGTTCCTAAAGAATGAATGTTAAAGAACAAGTTTTGTAAACCATTCTGTTTTTAGAGATAGGGTCTCGCTCTGTTGCCCAGGCTGGAGTGCAGTGTCCAATCCTGGCTCACTGCAGCCTCGACCTCCCAGGCTCCCGAGTAGCTGGGATTACAGGCATGAGCCACCACACACAGCTGATTTTTCATTTTTGTACAAATGAGGTCTCACGATGTTGCCCAGACTGCTCTCCTGGGCTCAAACGATCCTCCTGCCTCGGCTTCCCAAAGTGTTGGGATTAAAAGCGTGAGCCATTGCACCTAATTAACTGATAATTATGAGCTCAGCTTTTACTTTTAGGATCAATGTGTCTTCAATAGCTCAGTTTTGTCTGTTGTTATTCATTAGAAGAAACCAGATCAATTATGTAAGAAATAAAACATTTTGTAATGTAAACAATAGCACCACTAGACAAAGCTCTGATTCTGATTTCTAAAATTTCTCAAGTCAATTCTGAGAGTGACACCAGGGAAGAAAGCTTGTGGCTAGACAGCGGCCCTCCTCATCTGGACAGTGGTGAGGGCAAGGTGGTCTGACAGCCCTGGCTCCTGGAAGGGAGCCCCCACCCCACAGAGGGGCCGGCCCTCCAGCACCTGCCACAGACCCTGAGAGTGGCCACTGTCCCGGGGGCCTCGAAGAGACTCTCAAACCACATCACGTGATGAGAAACGACGTAAATATTTTGATGATGACCATTAATTGGTTTTCATTGTTCTGTCATTTATTAAGATGGGCATGTACCGAGTATCGTTGTATTGTTTAAATCAAATAGCCAAGGAACCTGAATTCTGGGGCCTGTTGGAATTGAGGCAACATTAGAGACTACTGGAGCACTCACTCTCACCCTGGGTGTTGCGAGACGGCCACGCATACATCATGGAGAAATGCTTTCCGAAAAGGATAGTCAGATTCCAGTGTGGGGGATTCAGACAGTATCAGGACTGAATTTGGTAACAAAATCGGCCATAGTCTGCGCTTGACTAAGATCAATGGCACAGCTGTGCATTTGAGACAGTAGATAACGGGTGTGGACATTGAAACTGGGAACTCAACTCCAAAAACAAAATTAATATTTACTCTACTTGGCTTTATGTTTAAAAAATGCATAACAGGCCAGGGCAGAGGGGAGGCATCCCACATAGAGACACCGCAAGTGTTGGGCAATGCCCGGGAGCCTCAGGCACCAACCAAGCCAACAGAAATATCTGCAGGGCCCAGAGTCTGATGGGCAGCAGCTCGAGCTAGGTGGGGCTGTCTGGGGGACCTCTGGAAATGAGTCAGGCATTCTGGACTGTGACAGTGACACCTGGGGTGATTGGTGCTGTTGGGGAGGACCAGGGATGCCACACATCTGGCATCATGTAGGTCAGTCACCCACACTTGGGTTTTGTCCGTGAGAAACACCATTTGAATGGGGCCCTTCCCTACAGGTGTGAGGAGTTCAGGTTGGGGCAGCTGAGAAGGGCACCCTCACAGATGATCTGCGTGGCACAACAATGCATGTGCCTGTGGTGGAACCATAAAGTACACTGACTAGTTTAGGAGTATCGCTTTCTGGCCAGCGCGAGATTCCCAGTAAGACGTCCTCAAGCTCTAAGTAGCTTGGCTTCTTATAGAGACTCCCTGGCTAAATGGAGCCAGGCCAGGAACTCCTGGGGGCCTCCCTGACACTCCCCAACAGCAGAAGATGAGAACTTCACACAGAGCACCAGGCGCAGACACTCTAGCGCGAGCCTAGGAGGTGCTTCCAGTAACCGCAAGCAAGACTGAGGCGGCGTGCTGAGAAACACGGTGTGGCCCACACCTGTGCCACGCTCTGAAACAGTAAAACTGCACTGGCCAGGAAGAAACATTGGAAGCTCTTCCAGTCCCCTCGCCCCACAACTGATTCCCATCTTAGAAGAAGCAAAACCCAGGGCTGCGAGTCCTGCTTTTTAGGATGCCCCCAGGACCTGCACTTCTCTTTCTACACCAACTTGGAGGCTGCAACTCTGAGAATAAAGTAGGAATCCCACAGAAGAGGAGTCAGAGCGGCGGTCCACTGTGTTCCTGGAGAGGCCAGCCTTTGCACCCCAGCCACTCTGCAGACCAGACATAAAGCTGGGAGGAAGGGCCGCCAGCTCCAGTGCTGAGAACACAGCACAGAAAAGCAGCATCTGTGCTCCAGGATGAGTAAACAGAGACCCGAGGGAGCTGCCGAAAACGCACCGCAAACAGGAGAGGGAGCATCAGCTCCACCAGGAAGAGCTTCTCCTCAAGAGGGCTTGGGGAGACCAGTGGTTCTCAAACAGGTCCACGGAAGCCCAAGTCTGACGGCAACCACTCAGGAACCAGAGGCTGAAGGAGAAAGAGGCGGGAGGTGAGTCCCAGGTTCTGCCATCACCCAGTCAGAAAGCCCCCATGATTGTGCAAGATTCCATCTGGACAAAGAGTTTAAAAGTAAAAAAATATCGAAAACCACTTCTGAAGGAAACAAAACATTTCTTATAACATACTTAATCCACATCTTGTACATGTCTTCCATGAAAAATAAGCAACAATCTGTAGGAGATGACAGGAAAGGCACAGCTGAAATGAGACAGCCATGCCCAGGGAGTAAGGACACAGGCTCACACTTCAAGTCACTAAGCTCAGTACTTCAAGTCACTGAACTCAGTACTTCAAGTCACTAAGCTCAGTACTTCAAGTCACTGAGCTCAGTACTCAAGTCACTAAGCTCCGTAGAGAGTTGCAGATGTGGGAAATAAAGTGGATGATGTAGAAGACCCAATTGAAAACAAATTCTCAAAATGCTGAAGAAGAGAACTTAAACCCTAAAATGCTCACTTTCTCTTTTCAAAGATAATAAAATTAAGCTAATTGGTTGACAAACAGGGAAGACCCAACCTTCCAATACTACATATTCCTGAAGGACAGATGGAAATGGATGGACTGTTTTCCAGTAATTATGCTTAGCTGTTTTATTTCAAGATTTCAAATCTCAGAAGAAAACACAACTGAGAGGAAATGGGTTTGTTCTTTCATTTCATGCCCCTCATCCCTGTGAAACTTTTCTGTGGGATGCGGTACCGTGTCTGAGTATCAATCATAGGGCTGTGGCACAATATGGTTTTAGAAGGAAGCCGCCTGCCCGTGGTTCGCTGTCCCTGCTCGCTCCCAAGAGGAAGAGACGCCGCCCACCCAAAGGCTTCGGAGCCCCTTTCATTAACAGAGAACACAGCGAACAATTCCACAAAGACAGCAGGAATGCACAGAGGTTGGAGTGGCAGGCAAACGGCCAACACACACCACTGGGGCCGCGATGCTGCTGCAGCCTGAGTTTCTGATGCACCAGGATGGTTTTGTACACAGGAAAATTATTTGTGGTTTATTTTTATGCTTATAAAATTATAATTCAATTCGT